CCCCCCCCTTTAACGACAATCCCCCCCCTTTAACGACCGACCTTCAGAATCATAGACAGGTTTCAGATATTACAGGCTAATAATGAAACCAAACGACCCACTCATTGGTTTTCATTTGCATGTTTCTAAGCAATACAAGGCCTTGTCTATATAAAGACTCAAACTCACTGCGGATCCAGACATTTGAATTGAGAAAGGTTCCTGGAGAGGTGGCGAAACGTCTTCAAATCTTGGAAACCAAGTCCAGTGGATTTTTTTGAACATTTATGGAATGACTATGACCTGGATAACTGAGAATCTTCATCAGCATCTAGCATGAGCTAGCTGGAGCTACAATGCTAGCCAGTTCACTGTAGCAGTTGGCTCCAACAACACGTGACTCATTCAGTCTAGTAGTGAGCATTAGCATTCAGTTAAAACTCTTAAAACCATCAGCAGTTGAATCAGAAAGCTTATTTCAAATAAAACACAAATACAACCATCTATTCTACCTAGTTCACCCAAGCAGAGCACTTATTAAGCATCAGATAACAGGGTTGGTGAAGGATGATGTTACTCTTTTGGTTCAGCGGAGTGAAGGCCTTCGGCTCAGTCTAGCGTTCTGCAGGCCCCCTCTTCAGTTCAGTCCGTTCGTAGAAACAGCAACTCAAAGCGATTTGGATCAATTCGATGCAATAATAAAAGCCGATTTTCCAAGGGGGTTAATGTTATAACTCACAGTCGCTGAGACGTCTCCCTTTTAGCTACCATGGTTAACTTGTAACCTCAGCCTCCAGCAGCTCCCGAGTGGTGCTCTGTCTCTCTGTCTCAGGCAGTCACGATCTGGCAGCTTCTACGGCTCCTTCGGCGAACAGCGTTTTTGGGCCCCGTTGTTTGGTGGATAGATTTCAGTTAGCAGAGCTGGATTAGCTCTTCTCTGTCACTATTGCAGCAGGATTGAGGAAACACTGCGTTCAACTTGGTTTGATTTGGAGGAAGAATAAAAACACTGCGTGTTACAGCTCCTTGCTAATCGCAGGAAAAAGGCAGTCTGACTCAATCCAGCGAGTGCAGACTTCTCCGGAGGGATTTGGTTGCTACACAGCGTAGCAGCGTAGAGCCTACTGCAAAAAATTCAAAAGTACATACATTTGCTACTTAAAGGCACACTATGCAACATTTTTCAGTTAATTAATGTGTTCCATAAC